CTGAGAGAGAGTGGGCACCTCCCAGAACATTGTTTTGTGCCACTCCCAACAGAAATACTCCAGGTGGACAACTTCAGCAATCAGGAGCTCCTCAGTTGCTCACAGAAAATCCCACCTTGGAGTTTACAAAGACTTATGGGTAGAAAAGCCACACTAAGTAATTTATTACACCACATGGCTGTAGTCTTTAATCTTCATCAGTAAGTGCTTCAAGTCATCTTCACTTTCAGCAAGCAAAGCTATGTTATCTGCCTATTACAGGTTGCTAATGAGTCTTCCTCCAATCCTGATGCCACATTCGTCTTCATATAGTCCAGCTTCTCAGATTATTTGATCAGCATACAGATTGAATAATTATGGTGAAAGGATACAACCCAGATGCACTCCCTTCCTGATTTTAAATCTTGTAGTATCCTCTGGTTTGGTTCACATGATAGCCTCCTGGTCTATGTATAGGTTCCTCATGAGCACAATTAAATGTTCTGGAATTCCCATTCCTCTCAGTATTATCCATAATTTTTATGATCCACACAGTTGAATGCTTTTGCGTAGTTAATAAAACACAAGTAAACATCTTTCTGGTATTGTTTGTTTTCAGCCAAGATGCATCTGGCATCAGCAATGATATCCTTTGTCCCACGTCCTCTCTGAATCTAGCTTGCATTTCTGGAAGTTCCTTATCAATATACTGCTGCAACCGTATAGGTATAAAGTATAAGTAGGGTTTCTATTAAATCTGAAAATTTTGTGAGTGAAAAGTCATTATCATAAACCACAGGTTTCATTCTTTTATTTACTTGGAGTGGCAACTTCTGCTAACCACTGTTAAAAATTTGGGTTTTTTATTCTTTCTTGAGTTTCTATGATGGCAAAGTATCCTTTCTTTAAGTTCAATGGTAGCTTACCAACTGACATCTCTCCTGTTTATTTTTGCTTCTAATTAAAGGAACTCCGATGGTGAAGTGATTAAAGCATTTGGGTGCTAACCAACAGGTTAGCGGTCCAAACCCACCAGCTTTTTGTGGGAAAACTTCAAGGCAGTCTGCTTCCATTAAGATTTATAGCCTTGGATTTGGAAAAAAAAAAAAGTGGGGGGGACCAGGTTTGCTGGTCTGATAGAGCCTGGTGGAACCACTGAGACTATGGCCCCTAACTGCCCTTCAGGTCTAGAATTCAACCCACACCTGTGGCTTCCAGCCAAATAAAAGACAGGCATATGAGTTGAACATTTACCTGAGGTAGTTACACTCCTTGGAGAGATCAATCATGGGAGAAAGAAGGGCTGTTTATGCAGAGGGAGACAGCATAGGAGTTGAACATTTACCTGAGGTAAATACACTCCTTGGAGAAAACAATCATGGGAGAAAGAAGGGCTGTTTAAGCACCACAGGAAGACAGCACAGGAGACAGGGGTGCATGGAGGGATGGACACAGGGAAGATGTAACTGTTGAGAGGAAGTGGGAGGGGAGCTGTTGCATTGTGGTAAATTGTGGCCAATGTCATGAGACAAAGAGTATGTGAACTGCTGTATGGAAAGTGAATTTGCTCTGTAAATTTTCGCCCAAATCACAATTTAAAAAAAAAAAAAAAAGAAGATTTATAGCATTGTAAACCCTATGGGTTAGTTCTACTCTGTCCTAAAGGGTTGCTATGAGTCAGAATCATCTTGATGGCAGTAGGTTGGGTTTGGTTTTTGTATTGAAGGAGACAATAAATAGGAACAGAAACTAGTCTCCTTTGTAGTATTTGTTCTTGTGGTTGGGTACTGTCAACTTGATTTAGACTCATAGTAACTCTACAGGACAAAGATGAACTGCCCCATAGGGTTTCTAGTTAGCTGCTTAATTTAAAAATTAGACTTGTTTCAAATACATTAATAGACATTGTCTTGAGTTTTAATCTATTTGCTTTTTATAAATTGACAAATTAATTTATATTATAAAATCCCTACAATACTCATTAGTGCCATTTAAAAAGTACTCCAGCAAAGAAGAATGAAGAAAACTAAAAATTCATGAAAAGAATTAGTCCTAGCGACTGGTACACCACATGATCCGCAGCCTATACGACTGTGAGACCAGAACTAGATGGTGCCTGGCTACCACTGTAAACCACTCAGGGGGGAATCTATGGAGGAGCTCGTGGATAGAAAGGGAGAACAATGTGGAACAAAACTCACAATCATTTGGGAGGCAGGACCAGGTTTGCTGGTCTGATAGAGCCTGGTGGAACCACTGAGACTATGGCCCCTTGCTGCCCTTCAGGTCTGGAATTGAACCCACACCTGTGGCTTCCAGCCAAATAAAAGACAGGCATATGAGTTGAATATTTACCTGAGGTAGTTACACTCCTTGGAGAGATCAATCATGGGAGAAAGAAGGGCTGTTTATGCAGAGGGAGACAGCTCAGGGGGCAGGAGTGCATGGAGGGAGAGACACAGGGAAGAGGTAGCTATAGGGAGGAAGTGGGAGAGGAGCTGTTGCATTGGGGTAAATTAAAGTCAATGTCATGAGACAAAGTGTATGTGAACTGTTGTATGGAAAGTGAATTTGCTCTGTAAATTTTTTCCCAAATCACAATTAAAAAAAAAAAAAAAAAACTACTCCAAAACTCATAGACTGTTAGCATTGGAAGAGACCACATATGGATCATCTAGTTAATATTACATCACATTTTCAAAACAAGAAAGTAAAGACCAAGTAGGTAAAGTGAATTTCTGATAGCACACAACTAAACCACAAATGTCTCCTGACTCCAAATCTACTTTTCTATTGAAATCTTTTTTGAACTTTAATAAAAGGTTTAAGGTATCAGGCTATAATAATAACAATAGTAACAGTTATAAACCCGTAAGGAGCAGTTAAAGGGAATTTCATTTTCCTCTCACAATAAACACAGACTTCCTTTCTGTTAGCCATGGAAAGCAGTTTACTCTCTAATTTATACAACAATTTAATTTGTCATAGAATGAGAAATAAGAATATACTCTATAAAAACTATATAATATAGCAAAATTTAATAAATTTTTATATTTATAAATTATTTCTATTTTATACCTATAACCTAAGTTATTAAAATTTATAAGCACTTAAGAATTTATAAAGATTTTGCTCCCTACCAAGTTGTGGTTTCTTTTTTTAAACTCAGTGGTGCTTTGCAAAGGAGTCCATAATATCAGTGAAAATGGAATGGTTAATGCAGTAATGTGCTGGGCAGCGAGAAAGGCAGGTTGCAACGTATTCAGCAAGTACAACAAAAATATCTTAGATAAAAGCATTTTGAGAGAACCAACTTAAATTTCCTCCCCCTAACCACTCATCTGTCATTTTGTCATACTAGGGTGACTTGCATGTTGCTGTGATGTTGGAAGCTATGCCACCAGTACTTCAAATACCAGCAAGGTTAGCCAGGGTAGACAGGTTTCAGCAGACCTTTCAGACTAAGACACGCTGGTGGTGTAGTGCCTAAGGCATTTGACTGCTAAGCAGAAGGCTGGCAGCTCAAGCCCACTACCCACTCCTCAGAAGGAAGGTCAGGCAATCTATTTCCGTAGCGATACCACCTTGGAAACCCAAGGAGGGGTTGCTATGGTCGGATCTGACTCAATGGCAGTGGGTTTGGTTTGGTTTTTTGGTTCAGACTTAGACAGACTAGGAAAAAAGGCTTGGTGATCTACTTCTGAATTTTACCCAGTGAAAACCTTATGGATCACAACAGAACACTGTTTGACTCACTTGCTTTGGATATGTCACCAAGAAGGATCAATTGCTAGAGGACAACATGATGTTTGGTGAAGTAGAGGGCCAGTGAGGGAGAGGAAAACTCTCTAGCTGTACTGGCACCATAGCCACAACGATGGACTCAAACAGGCTGGCGATTACATAATACGGTTAAATTTAATAAATGATGAAATGGGACCAGGCAACGTTTCTTTCTCTTGCACATAATAAGGCCACCGTGAGCCAGAATCAGCTTGACGGGAGCTATCTAGCTATTTCTATCTAGTGTTCAGTTAGATTTAGCTGCTGAGAAATAAAAGATAGGGGAGGAACTCAGTAATTTGTCTGATCTCCTCAGTATACATACTGTATTTATACTGATTTAACTATAGTCTTTTTGAAAAGTGTCAATATATTGAAAGAAAATTATATTCTGACTGGCAATATATCTTGAGAACTATGGCTACTTCACTTCACCAAATGAGAGCACATAGATAATTATTATAGCCCTTCATCTGAGGTAAAGGTGCTGTTTTCCAATTTTAATTTGGTGGCATAGGCGCTGTAAATGATGTAAATAAAAAGGAAAGAAAACCAAAAACCAAACCGACTGCCATGGTGTTGATTCTGACTCATAGCGATCCCCATTGAGGTTCTGAGGCAGTAAATCTTTACAAAAGTAGATTGCCCAGTCTTCCTTCTGCAGAGTGGCTGGTCGGTTTGAACCACCAACCTTCTGGTTAGCAGTCCAATGCCTTAGACAATGTGCTACCAGAGCTCCTTAAAAAGGAAAGAAAGTAGATATTAAATAATGGTGAGTATATGTACCAAGGTGGTGCTTTGACTTCTTTCATAATGAACTGGCATGATGTAGTTGAGAATAGAGAGCTGGTCTGTGGCATCCTCCAGAACTGCAGAGATTCTCAGCACATCCAGAAGGGAGAGTGGTGGCTCTATGTATTCTGGGATGACATCCATTTCTGTATCTTGGGCTATTTCTTCATCTCTTCCTATGGTACCAGGTGATTCACCTGTCACTGACACCATCACCTCAGAATTCCAAACTTTTGGAGGAAAGTTAGAGGCTTTCAGCTGGTCTCTGAGGAAAGAATGAAGAAAAAATAAAAAACATGTAAACCACCAATGTTGAAATATTACTTAAACTCAAAAGCACAGGCAGTGAGTAGACTGGCTTTTAAGTCCACATTGTCATATAATGTAGGTAAAAAACAGAAGGGATTCTGTCAAATACTTTCCATTGATATTTTGATCAATCAAAGGCAAGTAACTTACTGTTTAATAAAGATACGTTGCCACTGCTATCTGACCACGTATAACCAATTTGAATTTGGGCAAAAATAACTGTTTGTTTTTTTTTTCCTAGCAGCATCTTTAGATGTTAACCAAAAGTATCTCGTGATTAGTGAAATACATAGGTAGCCAGCCTCCAAGATGACCAAACAATTATCATTTCCGGGTATTCCTGCTCTTGTGTAGTCTCCCTCACACTCAATTAGACTGACCCATGTAATCGATAAGAAGCTTTAGCGGCAGTAGCTAAGGCATTCGGTTGCTAACTAACAGGTCGACAGTTTGAACCCACCAGCCACTCCATAAGAGAAAGATGCAGTTTGCGTCCATAAATATTTACAGCCTTGGAAACCCTATGGGACAGTTCTACTCTGTCCTATAGGGTTGCTATGAGTCGGAGTTGATTTGATGACAGTGGGTTTGGTTTTTTGGTTTATGTAACCATTAGGAGTCTCTGGGTGGTGCAAATGGTTAATATGCTTGGCTGGAAAGGTCAGAGGTACAAGTCAACCCAGAATCACCTCAGAATAAAGGTCTGGCAGTCTACTTCTAAAAAATCAGCCACTGCAAATCTTATGGAGCACAGCTGTACTCTTACATGGAGTCACCCATAACCAATAGGATACTGTAGAAATGACAGAGTGTGACTCCCAAGGCTAGGTAATAAAAGACATTGTGGCCTGCAGTTCATTTTCTCTTGGATCTTTCATTCTGGGGAAGCCAGCTGCCTTGTAATATGGTCACTTAAGTAGTTCTCTGGAAGGGCTATGAGGATAAGGAACAAGGCTTCTTGCCAAAACCGCATAAACTTGCCAGCACCAGAAATAAGCAATCTTCCAATTGGGTCCTCCAGCCCCAAACAAGTCTTCAGAAGCTTGTTGCCCTGGCCAACATCAACCTTATGAGAGATTCCAGGCCAGAACTATCCAGCTAAATTGCTTAAAAATTCCTGACCCACAGAAATTGTGTGAAATAATAAGTGTTTATATTTTATGCCACTAAATTTGGGGACAATTTGTTACACAATAGACAACTAATGTACAGAAATTTAACAGAAGGCATGATGTTAAAATACATACAAAATAATTTGGTATTTTGAATATACCTTTCCATTCTTCTTGAGTTAGTTTTATCACCCTCTGTGGTTTATTTACAATCTCATAAAAATGCAGCCACCTAAAAAGAGAAGGAAAATTTGAGATTGGTTTAAAGGAGCATTGAGAGATGTTTCAGAAATTCCTATGCCCTCTCATTAAACAATTACAAGACACGTGGCAGATTCCCTCTTGTTGCTTAGTAGAGCAGGCCCAGAGGTGAAAGAACCATGCACATCATTTTGCGCAGGTCTATTAAGCAGCCAATTAATTACTGATCTGCCAAAGCTGAAGATAAATGAACTCTTAGAGTTTCTTGTTAAAGTAAATTAATGTCCAATATGGTTTTAGTGTCTTTTATCATACCCTAATTTTTTTCATTGTATTCTATTATTTTCATTGGTAATCTCTATGCAATAGATTTTTCTATTATTCTGATTAGTAGAATATTTCATTAGATCATACCATTCCTCTAATTTGCCAGGTAATAGAATTTGTAACATCTAAAGTTATAACAATTAAGATTGCACTAAAAAAAAACTGAAATTATCCTGGAAATCAGGATACCCCTCCTAGTAAATTACTTTAGAAATTAATCTGCTTGAATGAAGTTTACAATGAGCACACCCTATAGAGAATTGTGCTCTATACTGAATAGTAAAGGCTGTTTTCAGTGTGACTTTGCCCACAATAAAGTGTCCCTGGGGATGGTTGCAGTAGAAATATGTCTCACTCAACAAAAATTTTATATACTAAACTTCAATCATATAAAACAGAATTTTTATGTAACCTGAAAAAAGATACTCCAAAATAGCCAAATTTTCTGGTGCAGGGGCAGTCCAAGAAGAGGCAGCATGAATTAAGCATAATTTTGTTCTATGATTGTACTCTTGTTTCATTGTTTTCTCATTTTTTAGGCTTAGGGTATAGATAAATTACACTTTGTGTAGATAACATATGGTTGTGCTTATGCAGAATCCACACATACACACACAAGTATTTAGTTACTATGTGTGATACATCTTGATATTTTCTATCACTTTTTAAACATTTATTTTTATTTGTAAAAATATACACAATAAAGGATACACAATTTCAACAAATTCTACATGTACAGTTCAGTAATGTTTACATTCAAGTTGTGTATCAGTTCTCATTGTCTTTTCCCAAATTATTCCACCATCACTGACATAAACTCACTGCCTTCTAAGCTTCTCATCTAACTTTTCAAGATGCTATTGTCAATTTGATCCCACATAGACAAATCTTTGAAAAAGCACAATGCTCAAGGCAGACCTACTGTACTGATTAAGCTAAACAATTGTTTGATTCAAAACAGACTTAAGGGAAAAGTTGTGCTTTGAGGTCTAAGGTTTAAAGATTATCTCCAGGCAATAGTGTTCGGTGTTCATCCAGCTTCAATGAAACCAGAAGGTCTGGACTTCATTGTATTCTATCATATTTTGTTTAAATGAGTATTCTGCTTACAGTCTACTAATGAGTCACGTCATGAATTGAATTTTGTTCACACAAAATATGCATCAAATTGGCCAGGCCATGATTCTTGGTATTATGTAATTACCCTCCATTTTGTGATCTGATATAATTATCCTATGTGTTATAAATCCTAACTTTTATGATGTTAATGAGGCAGGATTAGACACAGTTATATGAATGAGGAAAAATACAATCTACAGGATTAGTCTGTAACTTGAGTCAATCTGTTTTGATATATAAAACAGATTAAACAAGGGATCAGAGATCAGAGGGACATCAATACTACCAAGAAAGAAGAGCCAGGAGTAGAGCACATCCTTTGGATCTAGGGTCCCTGTGCTGTGAACCTCCTAGACCTAAACCAAACCAAAACCAAACTCACTGCTGTGGAGTCGGATCCGACTCATAGTGACCCTTCCTTGGGTTTCTGAGGTGGTATCACTACAGAAGTAGATTGCCCAACCATCCTTCAGAGGAGTGGCTGGTGGGAGGAAGACTAATGACAAGGACTTCCTCTAGAGCTGACAGAGAGAGAAAGCCTTCCCTTAGATCTGGAACCCTGAATTTGGACTTTTAGCCTCCTAAACTGTGAGAGAATAAATTTCTGTTTGTTAAAGCCATCCACCTGTGGTATTTCTGTTATAGCAGCATTAATAACTAAGACAGGTCATCATTTGAATTTTCAAAAATGCCTTAAATGACACTTCCCCAAGTAGTCTCTCTGACACAAGTTCTATCAGCATGTCTCTGTTCAAGCTTTCACAGAACTCCCATTTTCCTGCAGAGCCTTTCTCACAATTTGTAATGTTTATGTCAGTTTTCCTCACCAAATTGTGTGTTCCATGAGAACAGAGACCATGCCAATAATGCTCACTATTGTAGCCTCAGTTTCAGGTTCAGTATGTATTTGTGAAATGAATGAATAAATAAATTAAACTCATGTGTTATTCCTCTCAGGAGTACTTACACTTGGAACTTCAAGAAATGAAATTTCTGACAACAAATATGAACCCTTTTGCATATACAGTACTGAGTTGTCAGTGAAGGCAAACAGGGGTATATGGACGGAAAGATAGGTGGACAGGCTAAACAATTAGGTATGTCTAAATGGGGAGTGTATCCAAGATCATATATAGGGTTGGCAGACAATGGTCCTATAAGTTTATGTGAGTGATAGAATTCCCAGGTGCTGACAAGGGGTAAGGTTATGGTCATTGCTTGGTCACAGCCAGTTACCCAGAGCGACCAAGTAGTTGATCCTGAGGGCCTGGGACCATAGTTGCAGGGGACATCAAGCTCAATTGACATAACATACTATACAAAACATTGTTCCACCTCCTACTTTGGCGAGTAGCGACTGGGATCTTAAAAGCTAGCAAGCTGACATCTAGATGCAACAATGGGTGTCTCGTCAAGAAGAAAGAAGAAAACCAAAATGAATGGAAACAATCAGTCCTAGTGACTGGTACACCATCTGATCTGCAACCTATACAACTATGAGACCAGAAGAACTAGATGGTGCCCAGCTACCACTGTCATCCACTTGGAAGGGCTGTACGAGATCCTGCATGGAGAGGGAGAACAATATGGAACAAAACTCAAAATCATTTGGAGGCAAAAAAAAAAAGAAGGTGGGGACCAGGTTTGCTGGTCCAATAGATCCTGGTGAAACCACTGAGACTATGGCCCCTAGCTGCCCTTCAGGTCTGGAATTGAACCCACACCTGTGGTTTCCAGCCAAACAAAGTACAGGCAAGTGAGTTAAACATTTACCTCAAGTAGACACACACCCTGGAGAGAACAATCATGGGAGAAGGAAGGGCTGCTTATGCACAGGGAGACAGCTCAGGGGGCAGGAGAGTATGGAGGGATGGACACTGGGAAGAGGTAACTATGGGGAGGAAGTGGGAGGGGAGCTGTTGCATTGTAAATTTTGGTCAATGACATGAGACAAAGTATATGTGAACTGCTGTATGAAAAGTGAATTTACTCTGTAAATCTTCACCCAAATCAAAATAAAATTAAAAAAAAAAAAAAACAGGCATTCCTGAGTAGCTAGAAGAGTATGTTTTATTATTATTAGAATACTCACTGTTGGCTTCTTTACTGGGGCTCAGTTTCTTTACTCTGAACTTGAGAAATCTATAAAATTTATAAAATGTCTTGAAACCTGGTAGGGCAAGTCCCTACACTTTTTTTTTTTTCAAATAAATTAATGCTATTTATACAGTCAAAAAAAAAAAAAGAAATGAAATTTCTGGGACAGAGAAAATTTGGAAGAGGAAGCTATAAGATACATTAACTTTATCTTGATGAGAGAATCTGATTCAAAATGTGACCCATACACAACTGCTTTATAAAACCTTGGCACATTCTTTACTCTGCTGTCAGTCCTTATCCATCACCAGATCTTGTCAGCTTTACATTTAAAATACATTCAGAATTCCAATACTCATCATGTCTGTTTACACACCATCATCTCCCAACAGGATCATTACAATAGGTCAATTATAACTTACCTCCTTGCTAGTACCCTTGCCTGCCATAAGTCAGATAGTCACTGCTCTGTACAGAAATGGGGATCTCTGGTGGTACAGTGGTTAAGCACTTGGCTGTTACCTGAAAGGCTGGTGGTTGGTATTCACGTTCTGCAGGAGAAAGATGTGGCCATCTGCTTCCGTAAAGATTTCAGCCTTGAAACCCCTATGAGGCAGTTCTCCTTTGCCCTATTGGGTCGTTATGAATCTGTTCTATGGCAATGGGTTTGTTGGTTTGCTTTTCTGCACTGAAACTTCAAATGGCTTCCCATCTCAGAATAAAAGCCTTCTTTACACTAGCCTCCTTGCTTCCCCCCCCCCCATACAAGTTAACACCTCCTAATGTGCCATATATTTTACTCCCTTATTGTCTGGTTCCCCCTAAAACCAAAACCAAACTCACTGCCGTCTAGCTGGATCGGACTCATAGCGACCCCTTCTTGGGTTTCCGAGGCAGTATCACCACGGAAGTAGATTGCCCAACCCATCCTACTAGGATGTAAACTCCAGGAGGGGAGTCGTTTCTGTTTTCCTAAGTATTGTCAGCGCCTAGAACAATGCTTGACACATGGTAGTCATTCAATGAAATATTTGTTGAATAAATGAATGAATCCACCAAACTAAAAAAAAAAAAACTCACTGCTGTCCAGTCGGTAGCACTCACAGTGACCCCTGCTTGGGTTTCCGAGGCGGTATCTTTACGGAAGTAGATTGTCCAATCTTCCTTCTGAGGACTGGCTGGTGGATTTGAACCGCCAGCCTCTGGATAGCAGTCAAATGCCCTGGGCATTACGCCACCAGAGCTCCCTAAAAAGGTGATAAATCTTCTCAGGGTAGTCCTCCACAACCTCGGGGTCAAAGCTAAGTATAGAGGTAAGAACTTAAGTCAAGTCTTGAAAGATGTAAAGGAGTAGAAAGAAGAGATGAGGAAGAAAAAAGCAGGGAAAGAAAGGAAGGATTCCTCCTGCCTTCGTGCTCCCGGCCTTTCTCTTTCAGTCTAGAGTAGGATCCGAAATGAGTCTCCATTCCCCTTACGCTTGTGTGTGGAAAGGAAAGATACTTCTTTGTTCGCGAACCAGATCTGATGTGTCCGAGCCTGGGATAAATCCTTTAGCCCGGCTTCTGCCTTTCCACCTAGAACACCTAGGAGACAGGTACCAAGACAGTGTGTTTCTATGGCAACAGACAGTTTTGGGGGACCTTTTCTTCTCCCCCATTAGCTGGCTACCACTTTGCCGCCCTCTGTTCACAAATAGTGCATGATGCCGCTTATAAAGGTGAAATGATTTGGGTAAAGAATTGTAAGAGTACTCTTAGATGTGGCTTGCTTCAGTCACAAGACGAAGCTTCCACTCCCCCACCCACCCACCCAAACGGGCGTTCGCGGAAGAAGCCTAAATTGGGGGCGTGACGGAGAGGTGTTTGTCCCACAAGGCAACGCGGTGGGCTTGCGCTTTTCTCTTTCCGCCATCTTGGAGCCTGTAGAGGTGAGTGAGACTACAGCTGCTGAAATTTGGGGATAAAAAACTGAAGTGGGTTCATTCATACGCCTCGGAAGGCATCATTGTGGTTCGGGGCCCTTGCCAGCCAGTAGTTTCTGAGGATTCCAGCAAGAGGGAGGACAGGATGGCAGGGATGCGGGATTGATGGTGTTGGTTGCCTTAAGTCCCGAGAACGAATGCTCCTGTAATCGGAGTTGCTTCCTGGCCCCACTTCGTTTGTGTACAGGTGTTTATTTAAGGCAGTGGCTCCTTTAGGCTGAATTCAAGTTTTCTGTACGTTTTTCTGTCTAGATATATACATTGATTGATAAGTTTTCATTTTTCCCGAATTTCTTTCTACTGACCAAGGCATGGAGAAGCACCGGTTACACACTGGTTAAAACATTTGCCTGCAAACCGATAGGTTTGAGGTTCCTCATCAGCCGCTCCGCGTGTCAGTCTGCGTTTGTAAAGATGATAGTCTTGGAAACCTTATGGGGCAGTTTTTTCTCTTTTCTGTAAGATTGTTATGAGTCGGAATCTTGCTGGCAGTGGGCATTATATGAAACGTCATTCAAAAGGAATTTGTCCAATAGCCTTAAGAAGCGGGAGGGAACTTGGTGGAAAAGTTGGTGTTGAAAGGTTGTAAACTGAGATTTTTTTGTTTTCTTTTAAGGCCTGCTGGAAACAGGACTTCTAAACCGGCAAATATGTCTGGAAGGTACGAGCTTTAAATGCAGTTGTTTTCTAGTTGTGGTTTTGTTTGTTAGATGTGAACCTAAATGTGAGCGTAAACCAGAAAAATTAAATATCTGTTGTAGATATCTTGAGGAGGGGGTAGAATCATAGTAGTGGTTTGTTGAGGTTAAACAAGATCTTTTAACAGCTTACGGTTAATCTTACGTATTTTGTGTATCTTAGGTTGTGGTCCAAGGCTATTTTTGCTGGCTATAAACGGGGTCTCCGGAATCAGAGGGAGCACACAGCTCTACTTAAAATTGAAGGTGTTTATGCCCGAGATGAAACCGAATTCTATTTAGGCAAGAGATGTGCTTATGTGTACAAAGCAAAGAAGTAAGTTTATAATAACGTTACGGATTTGAATTTTTACTCTGCCTCATTTTTCTTTTGAAAGAAAGAAAGAAAATCTGTGGATGTTGATAAAAGTAGTTGGTGCTATTAAGTCTTCTACTTTTGACGCCTTTTGTTGTAGAAGGATGTTACTTTTTGTGGATGGAGTAGGATTTGGGTAACTATAGCACTTAGAAAAATTACAGCTGTTCACTATTTAGAGGAAGAAAGTAATTCCTTACAAAGATTTGTGGAGCACTTTTTCAGGGAGCTCTTGGTGGCCTAGTGTTTAAAGCATTCTAACCAAAAGATAGGCGATTCTAACCCACCAGGTGCTCTGCGGGAGAAGATGAGGCAGTCTGTTTCTGTAAAGATTGACATCCTTGGAACCCTATGGGGCAGCTCAATTTCAATTCTATAGGGTCTCTCTGAGTTGGAATGGACTGGATTGCAGTGTGTCCCCCCCCCCCCCCATGTATTTTAATACATTTAATTTAGTTTAGTTGATTTCCTAAAATTAATATTTTAAAGATATTAGTGGCTGTTCTTAATCTACCTCAGGCTATTTAGAATACCTGGCTCTGTACTTTAATCTTTGCCCACCACCACAAGTAGAGTGATGCTTTAAAATTAGATTATCAGATCTTGTGGACATTGTTCAAACTCCAGTCATACCTCATCTCATTCATTAAAAGCCATAGTCCTTAAGGGTCCTCTGATGCATTTTGTACTCAGGTTCCCTATTTCTTTCTGGTCCTAGCTAGGACTCACCACCATTCCTCATCCCACTTCCACCTCCTGTGATCTCTTCCTTTTTTTTTTTTTTCTTTTCCTTCCAGTAGACCATGTGTACTCTCAGATCTTTAATCTGTGCAGTTGCCTCTGGGTGGTCTTCCCTGGATAAGTATATGGCTTGTTTCCTCACTTGGTCTTTATTCCACTGTCACCTGGGTGAAGCCTTCCATGGCTATTTAAAATTACAATCAATCTTCCCTCTCACGACACATAAACATCATCCCACTTAGCCCCCTTTGTTTTTTTCTTCCCATGTGGCAACTATTCCATCTGATATCCTATGTATTTTACTTTTTTAATTATTGGGTTACCCTGTAAACAATTTTTCTAATTGCAGTATGCCCAGCCTTTAAAAAAGTGCCAGGGAAACAGTAGGGACTCATTAAGTATTTGTTGAATGAACAGAGCCCAGATCTTTCTTGGTTTGCTTTAAATTCCTCAGTTGGTTAACTGGGCAACCAGAATTGAGAGCCACTGGTCTAAAGGCCACCTTGAATTTGTTTTAAACTTCATTGGTTGTCTGAGTTCTCATGCACTTTCCACCATTCTTCACATTAGCAACACAGTGACTCCTGGCGGCAAACCTAACAAAACCAGAGTAATCTGGGGAAAGGTAACTCGAGCCCATGGAAACAGTGGCATGGTTCGTGCCAAATTTCGAAGCAACCTTCCTGCTAAGGCTATTGGACACAGAATCCGTGTGGTAAGTAAAATTATTACCCAATCAGTCCTGTTACGTCAAACTAATCCCAAGGGGTTGGGCTTTGATCTCTAAGGGCCCTTCAACTGCAATTCTTCTTTGTCACCAAAATATGCTATAAAATTACTGGCAACAGTTTAAGTATTTTAGAACATAAAAGAAGGTAAAGACAAAGTGATCAAATGGATTATTTAGATTACAGAATTTACTAAAGCTGCCTGGGGGGAAATAGTATTTAAATTAATAATTTTCTTCAAAAATATTGGCACTGAAGTAGGTGCTAGAAAATAAATTCAACACACTTTTTTTCTGGCATAATTCTTGAGAATACTTTCCCATCTCTTCATCCTCAGTGCCAGATTGTTAGAAGAATGGATGTTATCAGTTTGTTTCATAGATGTAGAGAGTTGATGCTCACTTTTCCTAGGTCCCAGCACTCTGAGCTAAGTTAAGTTTTGAAAAAATGGGAAGGGATTTGTCCATATTGTGGTACTAAAATAACATTTGTAAATTTCTATTTACCTAATTTTTTGTGTTCTTTCCCCCCCAGATGCTGTATCCTTCAAGGATTTAATAACTACTGAAAAGTAAATAAAGTAAAATTGTGAATTTGTTACACGTTCTCTTGTATTCTTACTTAAAAAAAAGTTCCTCTAAATTAAGTTGCTATATGCTTAAAATACGCATTGAAATAGAGAAAGGGCTTTATGAGAACTTACTGATATTTTCAGAGCACAAGGAAGTTGTAGAGATACTATGTCAGTGGAATTACAGAAATTTAGAATATAATCTATCTGGGGATTTTAATGAGAAAAGTGGAAAGGAAATATCTTAGAAGTTTTTATGGTGGTGGAGCAACAGAACCCAGCCTTTGAATAACTTTTGGACAAATGGGAGCAGGGAGAACAGTTGCAGTCAAGTGGATTCCAATCCATGATGCCTTCATGTATGTCAGTAGGATTCTGCTCTGTAGAGTTTCCATGGCTGATTTTCTGGATGTAGATTTATTACCAGGCCTTTCTTCTGAGGTGCCTCTGGATGAACTGAAACCCCCTAGCTTTTAGCTTAGCTGAACATGTGAAATCGTTTGCATTACCCAGGGTCTCCATGGTTTATTTGATACACTGATAATTGTCTTCCTCATTAGATTAAGTAAGTGAAAGAAACTTAAATTTATCTTCATGACCTTAAAAGCACCATGTAATTGTGAACTCGTTCACTATGGACTAGTTGGCAAATTTACAACTTGGGAATTGGGAGGAATATGGAGATAGTACTTAAGGGTTTTGGGAACTCTGAGATAGGCTGAGGTGAGATATCTTTGGGTTTTGTGACTGGACAGAGCATTCTAGAATATAAAAACGCTTGAGCATATTAGGTAATGTTATGCAAAATAATGCCACATGATTCTACCTCAAAAAGGTGTTAACCCTGTGGTGCATGGGGTTTAGGATTAGTGCTTAGACATTGCAGTACTATAATGGAGAATTGAGAGATTTCAGCTTATTACAAATGAAAGTGAATAGGGCTTAAATCTGGAAATGTGCTGAAGTGCAAAATTTGCACTAATGCATCAACTTGTAGTATAATGGTTGTAGATTTTTAATTGAGGATTCAGTAGCAGCAAGGTCTTTGCTTTTATTAATGAACAAATCTTGACTTTCCACTGAAAATGCCAAAGACAAGTTTGCCATAACAAGCCCATTTTGAAATTTGTGTTTGGGTTCTTTGAGATAGACATTACAGGGATTTTTATGGGGGCAACACCTTTGAAGTCTAAAGGAAAAGGAGCTTGGGAAAGTGGGAAGATCTGATGATTGAGAACAAAGTGCAGTTGTAAGCAAGATTCACTTAATCCAGTGGTAGTCCTCAAGCCAAAGTTGCTTCAGAGAATCCAGTACTTCACAGGAATAGGCTTGCATTTGTATTCCTGCATGGTCATTTTGTGGTAATGGCCCCTGAGAACTATGGTGAGGTGCATCCTAAAGAGATTGGGGTCACTTAATGCTGTCCAGGAAATCTGAGCACATCTTTCAGGGCCACCTCAAGTTGAAAGTTTGATTATTAGAACCTTGAAGAAACAGTTTGAGAAATTAGGAAAGGGTAGAAAGTGCTGCTTTTCAACCTACTCCAGGGAGGTTTAGGTACTTTGTCCCATTAAAAACAGCTACCTTAATCTGACCCAAATCAACTGAAGGGTCATTGTGCTGATTAAATAGAGTATGATCTCTGAGGTGATAGTTTGTGAGACAAAGAGATTTTTGTGTGTGTGTGTGATTTGGGTTGAAGATTTACAGAGCAAATTCACTTTCCATACGGGAGTTCACGTACACTTTGTCTCATGACATTGACCACAATCCACCACAATGCAACAGCTCCCCTCCCACTTCCTCTCCATAGTTACCTCTTACCAGTGTCCATGCCTCCATACACTCCTGCCCCCTGAGCTGTCTCCCTGTGCATAAGCAGCCCTTCTTTCTCCCATGATTGTTCTTTCCAAGGAGTATATCTACCTGAGGTAAATGTTCAACTCATATGCCTGTCTTGTTTGGCTGGAAACCACAGGTGTGGGTTCAATTCCAGACCTGAAGGGCAGCTAGGGGCCATAGTCTCAGTGGTTCCACCAAGCTCTTAGTGGACCAGCAAACATGGTCCCCCCCCTTTTTTTTTCTCCAAATGATTTTGAGTTTTGTTCCACACCGTTTTCCCTCTGTATCAACAACGATCTACGTAGATCCCCTTCCAAGTGGATGACAGTGGTAGCTGGGCACCATCTAGTTCTTCTGGTCTCAGTCGTATAGGCTGCAGATTGGATGGCGTACCAGTCACTAGGACTAATTGTTTCCATGAATTTTGGTTTTCTTCTTTGCTCTGGACGAGGAGCGACCCATCGTTGCTTGCTAGCTCTTAAGATCCCAGTCGCTAAAAGCTAGCAAGCTGCCATCTAGATGCAATGATGGGTCTCTCCTTGTCAAGAAGAAAGAAGAAAACCAAAATGAATGGAAACAATCAGTCCTAGCAACTGGTACACCATCCGATCTGCAACCTATACAACTATAAGACCAGAAGAACTAGATGGTGCCCGGCTACCACTGTCATCCACTTGGAAGGGATGTAGGAGATCCTGCATAGAGAGGGAGAACAATGTGGAACAAAACTCAATTATTTGGAGGCAAAAAAAAAAAAAAAAAGGTGGGGACCAGGTTTGCTGGTCCAATAGAGCCTGGTGGAGCCACTGAGACTATGGCCCCTAGCTGCCCTTCAGGTCTGGAATTGAACCCATGCCTGTGGTTTCCAGCCAAGCAAAAAATAGGCATAGGAGTTAAACATTTACCTCAAGTAGACACACGCCCTGGAGAGAACAATCATGGGAGAAGGAAGAGCTGCTTATGCACAGGGAGACCGCTCAGGGGGCAGGAGAGTATGGAGGGATGGACACTGGGAAGAGGTAACTATGGGGAGGAGGTGGGAGGGGAGCTGTTGCATTGTAAATTTTGGTCAATGACATGAGACAAAGTATATGTGAACTGGTATATGTGAACTGCTGTATGAAAAGTGAATTTACTCTGTAAATCTTCACCCAAATCAAAATTAAAAAAAAGATCCCAGTCGCTACTCACCAAAGTAGGAGGTGGAACAATGTACAAAGAGACTCTTGTGTAGTACAAATTATCGGGTATTTCAGAAAAAGGAAAACTGTCTCTTGGGTTTTATATGAAAGTAAAAGACATTTAAGGAGCCATTTAAACTGCACTTGGTGTAATCTATTAAGTAGGGACTGACTGCAAAGTAAGTCTAGAAAATTTATGATTATGAAAGATCTTGTATACTGTGCTAAGGATTTTAGAATTAATACAGTATGTAATAGAACATCATTGAAAAACTTCATTCACAGATGTTAATTAGATTCATATTAGAAAAATCCCAGTGGGATTCCAGCGAAAAGGAAAGGGAAACCAAGGTAAACTTTGTAGTATACCTGAGATAGCTGAACACTCATATAAAAGTTCATAAACTAACTAGAATTTTAAAGCCGATTGATCGTGGAGCAGAGGCTTCAAGGATAATATGTTGTTAGCCACGAGTGAGTGAGTGAGCATTTATGGAGTTGGGGAATGAGGAGATGTTGCTAGCCTAGTAGGGGAAAAGCTGATGAGTTTGAGGAAGCTGTAAGATGTTCAGCTGGGGGCATGTCCAGAAAGGTAGATGGGTATTTCAGGTCTGGAACAGGGATATGGAGGAGAGGAAAATGTATTGCCATTGTTGGAGTTCAGTGTATGATGTTCTGAGTGGGACAGATTGTAGGAGAGAAATTGGGTGGATAAATGACACAAAATGGTAGAAACTTGAGCAAAGCAGGAGAGAGAAAAGGCTAAGAATCCTTACGGTTATCTTGAGTAGTTTGTGAGTTGTAGTGGCAAAAGAAACATGCATGCAAATAAATGCTCTTCTGAGGTGATACAGCATTTGTAAAGGAGAAGGTGCATTATGCTTTTTTGCTTCCACACAGGTGCTCTCTAGTCCATATGCTATTGAAACAGCCCTTCTCCAGGATAGTACTGTTCCAACTAGAAGCTTGAGGACCACTGGTTCCATTCTTTGTTCACAACCTGCAATTTGTGGTTCTTTTGTAGTAGAAATTTACATGTTTGAAAAGATAGACTTGATTTGGAATTCAACTACTTGTGGGATGGTAGACATAATCTCATGAATTAACTCAGTAATTAAACTCCACTCACTTTGGTGGTAGCATTACCCTTAATAGTACACTAAATTCTTAAGGATATTATATTTCTTGACTACCATGTACAGTTCCTAACACAGAATTTACAGTATTCAGTTCCTGTTGAATGCTTCCAGCCCTTAGGTTTATCAGTTTTATAGACCACAAACAAGGAGACTTGTCCCAGTTTTCAGTTGTCATAGTTTCAGCCCAGTTTTGAAGGTTGGGTTTCCTTGATGGTAAGGATCTGCTCAGTCTCTTCCTGGTTTAGTGCAGTTGGAATTCTTGGCTAGATAGACGCTAAGGCATGGGTTGAATAAAATGGTAAAGGACACTTGATTATATCTATGGGAATTAACTTTAGTGAAGGAGAAATGAGACAAATTAGTGGCTCAGAGTATTGAGCACTGAGCTATAACAAGTTTTTGCAGTCGTTTAGGTGCCCCTCTCAGCACCTGGGGGAGCTCTGGTAGCATAGTGGCTAAGCCTGCTAACCAGACGGCTGGCGGTTCAAACCCACCAGCCACTCCTCGGAAGGAAGGTTGGGCAATCCTACTTCCGTAGTGATACTGCCTAGGAAACCCAAGGAGGGGTCGCTATGAGTCGGGTTTGACTCAACGGCACATAACAACAACAACAACAACAACAACTCAGCACCTGGAATCTAATAGGTACACATCTCTAAGGTGAATGACTGATACGCAAACTAACTCGGACGTCCACATTCCATACCGTCCCCCAACCAGCAGCATCTGTTCGTCTTCTGTCACAGCCCAATCACGTGCGCCAGTAAGCGGCCTTTATTGGCCGGTTTCGCGTAATGAGACGAGATGGACGTGGTCACTGCCCTCATCTTCCGCGGTGAAGTTCTTTCGGATGACGCTAGCCAATCGAAAAACATTTTTCCGCGGGCTGGTCCCTCCACCTGCCCCGACCGGCGAGGGGCGGGGTTGGCGCCGGGCACGGAGGCGTCACGCACTCCATGGTAACGAGGCTTGGTCCGAAGATGGCGGCCGAGTGGGTTGGAGGAGCGGGTTACCCCGCTCCAGGCCCCAGCCCAAGCCGGTGGCGATGGAACAGTTTTTTATGGGTCCGAGGCGTTTTACTCCTGTTGGGCGGGCTCCAAGCAAGCACCACATCTTTTCCTGTCTCCTTGGGAAGCTCCCCTCCCTGCCGGCATATCGTCCCCTCTGACACTGAGGTAGGGCGATGGATGGTCGGGAGCCGGCACTATGAGGATGAAGTAATGCGAGAATGGTTGGCATAGAATGTAGTGACTGGGAGAAGGTGTTCTGGAAGAGAAAACGAAATTGGGGCAGAAATTGAACTCTTGCCTGGGACTAACCACCAACTCCCTTTCTGCTCAAAGCGAAGTGGCAGATTTACTGACTGGGCATTCAATACGGAATCACTTTCCCGTGCGGAAGGCTGTTCTTAGCACAGAGAAGTGGTTTTCAAACTTAAGCGTGCATCAGAATCACTTGAAGGACTTATTAAACATACGTTATTGTCCCACTTCCCCACTTTCTGACTCAGATCCGAGGTGGATCCTCAGGATTTGCATTTCAAGTTCCCAGGTGGTTGCTGAGAAAGCTGGTTCAAGGACCACACTCTGAGACCCACGATCTAGAAGGTTTGGGAAGAAATTAATAGGAGGGCCAGACAAAGGAGTTGGAGTAATATTAGGGGTTCCGTGGAGACAGAATTCGAACTTATTTCAAGTTATCTCCTTACTCTGCTTGCTTTACCTGCTTCCCAGCCCTGTGAGTGCTTGCCTCCTTCCCACCTCATTTTTTACCTTGACCAAATTCTTTCAGCATCAGCCTAAGTCCCCTAACCTTAGGGCAGCCTGGTGAAACCACCTTTGTAGAGTGTTCTTTCTATTCCAAAGCACATCTTACCTGAACGCTTTTCTTGCACTTAAGTATTGCTTTGTGGTGATGGCTTGTTTTTCGGGCAGTTTTGCCTTTATAGCTAGATTGTAAAAATTCCTTAGGGAAAGTTTTGTGTCTTAATTCTTTGATTCCTCCATAGTACTTGGCTCAGAGGTAGGCCCACAGTGGACCTACAGTCAGTATTTGAGGAAAAAAAGGACTGTACCTGGGGCAGGGCTGCAAGTTGTGGTTGGTTTTATAACTTGTTTTATGATTTTATCAGAAATAGGAGCCCTTGTGGCTCAGTGGTTTAGCATTCAACTGAACCCTCCAGTTGCTTTACAGAAGAAAGGTGTGGAAGTTTTCTGTAAAGATTTTCAGCCTTAGAAAGCCTATGAGGTAGTTCTACTCTGTCCTGTATGGTCACTTTGAGTCAGAATTGACTGGACCATAGGGAGTTTGGGTTTCATCAAGAAAGATTCACCTAAAAGTTTTCAGTTCAGCCTAGAAATTGAAAACCACTTATTTTAGTGGTAATTTCCAAAAATGTTATGTGCATTCTGTTCATAACTATGTGTGCCAAACTTATTAAGTTTGTGGTTTGTAGCTGTATTACAGCTTTAGTCATCATGCTGCCTTTTGGCAGAATTCATTAAAAAAAAAAAAAAAAAAAAATCCCACAAAGCCCTACACCTCTCTTTTTGAATTTGGTTTAAATAAGAGAAAGTAGTTCAAAGAACTGCAAAATTTCTGTGCTAGAAGGAGTCTGAAGAGCTATTTTCTTCTAGGGGTTGTTGCCAGTATACAAATCTCTAGCCTGTATTTGAGTATCTCCATGGGTCAGGAACTTATTATCTTAGTGGCATCCCTTTTGCTTTTTGGAGATCACTGTTGTTAAAGTTCTTTTTATATAGCCAACAACTCTGTTCCTGAAATTTTTACCTACTATTCCTATTTGTCTCGGGAGGAAGGTTGGGCAATGTACTTCCGTAGTGATACCACCTTGGAAACCCAAGGAGGGGTTGCTATGAGTTGGATCTTACTTGACGGCACATAACAACAACATTCCTATTTGTACATCTTGGCTGAACAAACTCAATAAAAACAAAAGTGGTAGCTTCAGATATTGAAAGCAAGCTATTAAATTCTTCTTGAGAGTTCTTATTCCTAATAAGATCTCCTAGTTTTTAGAGTATATAATAGCTAGTCCTCCTCCTCATTCTCATTCCTTTAACCTGATCACAGAATACAGGCAATAACTATCTTCATTGCTCTTCTAGTGACTGTACCTCTGTTAAGTGCTACAGGAAGCTACAGTAACTTTTTTTTTTGGTGAATATAGGAAATACAAAACACTTTAACTCATTTAACGTGTTCTCAATAAAAGCTAAGAGTTATTAGAAATTTGTTGTTTAATTTTCAAATATGTGGACATTTTCCAGATAGCTATTATTGGTTTCCTGGTTAATTCCATTACAGACTAAGAGCACTCTTTGTGTAACTTCAAAACCAAACCCAACCCACTGCTGTCAAGTCGATTCCAAGTAATAGCGACCCCCGTTGGGTTTTCAAGGCTGTGAATCTTTACAGAAGTAGATCACCTCATCTTCTTCCTGTGGAGCAGCTGGCGGGTTTGAACCACAAACCTTCTGGTTAGCAGCCAAATGCCTTTCTCACTGTACCACCAGAGCTTCTTTTATATAACTTTAGTTATGTTATATTTGTTAAGGTCTGTTTTTTAGTCCAAAGTATGATCTATCGAGGTTAATGCTCCATGTGTACTTGAGAAGAATGTTGGGTCAAGTGTTCTGTAAATGTCAATTAGGTCAAGTTAGTTGCAGTGTTGTTCAGGTATTTTATATCCATACTGATTTTCTTTCTACTTCTTGTATTGATTATGGAGATAGGAGGGAGTGTTGAGGTTTCCAGTGATAATGGTGGAGTTGTCTATTTGTTCTTTCACTTTCAAAACTTTCAAAAGTTTTTGCTTCATGTATTTTGAAGTTCTGTTGTTAGGTATTTACACATACAAGATTGTTATGTTTCCTTAGTGTACTGATTCATTTGTTTTTATGTCGTGTTCCCTTCTTTGTGCCTGATAAAAGTCCATGTTTGGAGATATACCTTATCTAATTCTACTATTTGAGTTAAAATCAACTTGATGGCAATTGACAACAGTAACAACAATACTAATCTAGCCACTCTAGCTTTCTTTTGGAGTCATTGGGTGCCACAAATGGTTAAACACTCAGTTACTGAGGGGTGATGGTTTGAATCTACTCAGAGGCTCCTCCAAAAAAATGCCTTGATAGTCTACTTCCAAAAAATCACAACCATTGAACCATAGTAAGTTCCTGATCCATGGAGATACTCAACTATAGGCTAGAGATTTGTATACTGGCAACAACCCCTAGAAGAAAACAGCTCTTCAGATGCTTTCTAGCACAGAAATTTTGCAGTTCTTTGAACTGCTTTCTCTTATTTTAACCAAATAAAAAATACATGGAGTCACCATGAGTTATAATCAACTTTATGGGAATAGGTTTATTTTGGTTTTTTGCTGTTCTTTTTTATTAATGCTTACATGGTATACCTTTTTCATCCTTATCCTTTTTAAAAATTTATTTTCTTTTGTTGTTGAGAATATTTATAGCAGAACATACACCAGTTCAATAATTTCTACATGTGCAGTTCAGTGACATTTATTACATTTTTTAAGTTGTACGTCATTCTTATCCTTCCTTTCCAAATCTTTTCTCCCCTATTAACATAACTCCTTGCCCCCTACTTTTCCTATCTAATCTTTCATGTAAATAGTTCTTTTTTTTTTTTTTTTTTTGTGATCTGGGTGAAAGTTTATGGAGCAAATTCACTTTCCATACAGCAGTTCACACATACGTTGTCTGATGACACTGACTACAATTTACCACAATGCAACAGCTCCCCTCCCACTTCCTCCCAATAGTTATCTCTTCCCTGTGTCCATCCCTCCATGCACTCCTGCCCCCTGAACTGTCCCCCTGTGCATAAACAACCCTTCTTTCTCCCATGATTGTTCTCTCCAAGGAGTGTTCATGTAGATAGTTCTTAAAGAGCACAATGCTCAAGGCAGACATTCTTTATTAGTTAAGGTAAACTAGTGTTTGGTTTCAAGTAGACTTCAGAAGATAGATATATATACATACATATGTGAGTGTGGGTGTGTGTGTATATATATACACACACACACATACATATACATATGTATAAAAATATATATAATATATTTTATTGAAATATAATTTATGTGCAGTGGAATACACAAAACTAAAGTGACATGGGTCAATGCTTTTGTTTTTTTCCAGTGTTCTCTCCCCTGCCCTCCCATCCCTGGTAGCCAACAAAGGAAGTTTTCTTCTGTATATAAAACTTTCCTTGACTTTTTACAATAATGAACTAATACTGTATTTGTTCTTCTGTCATTGACTTATTTCACACAGCATAATGTCCTCAAGGTTCATCCATGTTATGTGGTGTTTTGCAGATTCTACATTATTCTGTAGTGTTGCGTAGTATTCCATCGTGTATATGTACCATAGTTTGGTTATTCATTCTTCTGTTGTTGGGCACCTAAATTTTTTCCATATTTTTGCTATTGTAAATAGTTCTGTGATGAACATGAGTGTGCATATATCCCTACTTTCTCCCTGTGCATCTCTTCTTGTCCTGGCTCTCACTTCTTTAGGATACATACCTAGTAATGGGATTGCTAGGTCAAATGGTATTTCTAATTCCAGCTTTTTAAGGAATCTCCATACTGCTTCCATAGTGGCTGTATCATTTGACAGTCCCACCAGCAGTGTATGAGTGTCCCAATCTCTCCACATCCTCACCAGCATTTGTTATTTTCTGTCTTGTTTAACTTTGCCATAAGTGTTGGGGTGAGATAGTATCTCAGTATTGTTTTGATTTGCATCTCTCTGATGGCTAATGATTGTGAGCATTTCTTCATGTATTTGCTGGCCACCTGAATATCCTCTTGGTGAAGTGTCTATTCATGTCCTCTGTCCATTTTTTAATTGGATTGTTTGACTTTTTGTTGTTGAGATGTTGGGGTTTTCTATACATTTTAGAGATAAGTCTCTTGTCAGATATGTCTTTGCTGAATATTTTTTCCCAATCTGTAGATTCTCTTTTGACTCTTTTGGAGAAGTCTTCGGAACCACATAAAATTTTGATTTATACAAGGTTCCATTCATCGAGTTTATCTTCAGCTGTTTGTGCATTTTGAGTTTGCTTAACAGTTTATTCATAGAAGTCAATGGCATTCCTGTTTTTGTTCTCCTGT